AGCGTCATCACGATTTTATCTTAGCCATAAGCATTTATCATGATCTTCATTGGCGCCATTAAAAAACATCAAGAAACCAGCTAAAAATTTGTATAAAGCTCAGCCAAAACAGCCTCCGAATCCGAAATTCCGCCTCTGCTCCGCCTGCCCACTAATCCAGCTTACGATCTCTAGTTTCGCGTATACCCTATAAACGAAAATCAGTTGACTTAATAGGGCCTTGAACTGCATGGAAATGTATAACAATTCGAGTCTAATAATAATTATAACATATATATATGTATAAAAAATTGTTAATTTGTAAATATACTTCCCTTCATAACTTTGTTTATAAAAATATCCCAAGTAACTCGGGAACTCTAAGCGCTAGAGTAAAGAGATTTTGGTATGGTACCTATGCTTATCATCTACATCTCAGTGTGTAAAAAAATTAAGAAAAAGAATTGTATGTCATCTTCGCTCTTATATGATCCCAAGTAACTCGGGAACTCTAAGCGCTAGAGTAAAGAGATCTTGGTATGTGGCTACATCTTCTATTCAATTATTGTGTAAAAAAAATTAAGAAAAAGGATTTTATATTGTCTACGCCCTTATATGATCCCAAGGAACTCAGGAACTATAAGCGCTAGAGCCACAACATTTTTTATGTAGCTTACGTATTTCATATACATGAGAAATAATTCGAAAGTCTTAAGGGCAGTACGCACTCCTTATCGAATAATTAAAATAGAGTAAAAGAAGTCTTAGTGAATCCTACTAAAAATATCAAAAATACAAAGCTTATATATATGAACAACTTCTGCTCTATAAGAGCTTACTTAAATTGCTTAAAGTCTTGTTTTTGATAGCTCTATTCTAGTGCAAATATAAAACAAACCCAAGTAACTCGTAAACTATCAGAGCTAGAGCTACTATATTTGGTATATATCTTAGGCATACCATCTATGTGCAATTAAAGTAAAACGAAAGTATTCACGACGACCATCATGCTTGTAAGGTGAAATAAAGTAAATGTAACTTTAAAAATTGCTATAAAAAATGTCCAAGATTTCAAAAGTTTTTGCACATATTTTGAAACAATCAACTGCTCATCCCCATTTGTGAAGCCAGCTAACTCGACAGCTCTTGGAGCTCGAGCTACCAAATTTGGTTATGCTGGTTGGCTTGTTCGCATTAGGAGTTCGTTCTCCATTAAGAGATAAATGGCTGAGATAGGTAAATGAAATGAAATGAAGCTCAGTATTTGTGTAGTGTAGGGTATTTAAACGCTTTTACTTTTTATCAATGTTGTTGTTGTTGTTGTTGCTGTTGTTGTCTTGTTGTTTTTTTGTGCTTTAATGAATTCGTGTCCATCGATCGTTCAATGAGCAGTCGAACTCAGCGCCGCCGGCGGCTGCAGACTAGTACCAAGGGGGGCTTAAGCGATATGTGCGGGGGGCCGAGGGGGGTAAGCGGTAGGAGCTGGCAGGGGAGAAGATGAATTTCATGTTATTGTGGTGGCTGTAGCTGACTGTCAAGTTTTGCAGCTTGAAGCTAAAGTCGAAAAAAAGCACCAAACAACAACAAAAACAAAAAAACACTTTCTACGCGCGTTACCGTTAAACAAGGTCGCCAACAGCGACAACAACAACAGCAACACCATGTTATGTATAACTGAATGTTCCATCAAGTGGTCAAGTGGTTGCTCAGTGAAGCTAAAGAGTCTCTCCCTCTCACTTCCACACTCTCCCTATCTCTCTCACTCTCTCTGTCTTTCTCTAGTCAGCGATGCGTGCATTTTGCTTGTCATCAACAACAGGGACAAAGCCAACCACGAGCTGACCTTGAGGCAATGCTATTGCTGCTGCTGCTGCTGGTGCTTCTTCTTTATCTTCTTCAGCTACTTCTTCTTCTTCCTCTTCTTCTTCATATGCGTCTTCAGTTCAGGTGTCGCATTCTGTACCGTTATTTGCCATTTTGCAAAAGTTGGCTTTGTAAATTGAATGGTGTGCCGCCCACTTGCGAAAAGCGAAACGAAACGAAGTAAATTGTGGTGCAGTGTGGTGCAGTGTGGTGCACTGTGGTTTATGTCTTGCTCTGAATACCAAGCCAAGCCGTTCTCTAAGTTACACTATATGCATA